GTCGTTGCTGTCGTTGCTGTCGTTGCTGTCGTTGCTGTCGTTGCTGTCGTTGCTGTCGTTGCTGTCGTTGCTGTCGTTGCTGTCGTTGCTGTCGTCGCTGCCATCTGATATGTTCCATTGCGGGGGCTCCCCCGCCGGCCCAGGCCTTCGCACCTTATTTGTGTGTCGCGAGCTGGGCGGCACTGGAACAAAAGTTGGATGCGGAACATCTGCGCGGCTAAGGCTTTTCTATGTGTGCGAGCAACACTACTCTCATGGTGTTGCGCGACGCACAGAGTCGCAGAGACGGTGCGGCAACACCGCAATGCAGCACCACCACTCGGACTAACACGCTGCATCACCACAGCCTCAAAACTTCACACCTGCCACTGCATTTCCACGCCAAATCGAGGCATCTTCCGGTTATGACATCAACATCCCAAAGAGAAGGAATTGCAGTAGGTTTTGGCGGTTCTCTCATGCACATTGACTCGTAGTCCCTTGGGTGCATGGCAACCACCTCTCTCCCAACACTCGCCCGGGCGCCCGCAAACAGTCACACAATTGACCGTGTCGGTTTTCATTCTTCTTCCCACATCCGCTTTAGACCAGTGTCTCCGTTTGCTGCAACCTTCTCATATTCTCTCTCTTCAACAAAGGCAATGCAATTGACTGCCTCTGGCCTGCTGCTGCGCACGGCGTAAAGGTTGCGCTTTTCGTTGCACGTTTCCTCGCCTCTTCAGAGACTCGCACACTTGCCTCTGACATCTCTCTCGCCTCACTCGTGGCTTCATTTTTCCTCTCTCAAGTTACTCAGCTCGCCTGGTTCTCTGCCTTGGGTCGCCGCCTGGCGCCTCGAGAAAGAGCCGGGCGCTGAATCTCTACACCTACACACCACACGCTCTCGAGGTGAGAAAGGAGCGTCGTTTGGCTTCTCTCATACCCTTCCCCCAGTGTTCATTCCTCCTTCATCAACTCTTTCCCAGGAGGAGCGCAAGGGCTCCAGGCGGCTCCAAACCTGCTTCAATCAATCTACCTCTTTGCAGCAGCTCCGCAGAGGCATCATTCAAGCATCATTCAACTATCGTGCTCAAACTGCGCGGCGCGGCGAAGAGTCACCTGCCCTCCTCAACATATCTTACCTCTTCATCAGTAGCTAACGATCTCACATCTCAACGGTTCAATTCTCACGCTCGCATACGAATCGCCCAATAGCCACATCCTCAACATGGCGACTACCCCCCCTGGCGGCACGGGAAATGGCGATGACCCGGAGAACAGCAATATCACGCCCGAAATAGAGGCCGCTGCGTTGAATCTCTTGAATCTGCAAGCCCACATGTCAGGCGAGCAACCTAGCTCTTCGGATTCGAGCGCATCAAACACTCAACGGGCCACTCCTGCCGGGGATGGTGGTGGCGAGCCTCATGGGGCTTCCGAAGCGCAACGCACGCAAGCGTTTCGGTGGCTTCTCGGCGGATCAGACACCAGTGGCGAAAGCAGTGCAGCCAGCAATGCCGGCAGCGGCAACGATGCGGCGGATGGCACCCCAAACGAAGAAGCTGCGCAGCCGCTCCCTTCAGAGGGCGCTCCAGAAGGCGGCATGGATGTCCCTGAAGATGAAGGCCCTGACGATGGCGTTCCTGAAGACGGCGATTCTGGAGACGGCAGCTCTGAAGGCAGCATTTCTGCAGGCACCCTCGATTTTGCAAGCAGCCCGCGAATCAAGCAGGAACAGTCCCCTTCGCCTGACATCCTCAGCGAGGCCTCAAGCAGCAGCCGGTCGCGAAAGAGGCGCAGGGATACGAGCAACGAAAGCGAAGACTCTGAGGAGCGCAAGCGAGCCAAGAAGCGCGACGAGAAGCGTGACAAGAAGGAGAGGAAGCGGCAGAAGAAGAAGGAAAAGCGTGAGAAGAGGCGTGAGAAGAAGCGCCAGAAGAAGCGCGAAAGGGCTACGCGGCGCAACATCCTGCTTGGCCTGCAGATATCGACAACGTCGGCCCAGAGCGGTTCCAGCACCAGCGCGTCGGCTCATCCTCACGAAGCCACCGCCATCGTCAACGGCCTCCCGACGCCTACCACACCCTCCGACCCCGACTGGGATGCACCCTCTACCGACGGTGTGAGTACTTCAAGGCTTCACGCGCCTTATCCATGGATACCCGATCCGCTGTGCGATACAGCCATCGAGGGCGTTGACGACACCAATGACCGAGCGGAGCTTCAGCTTTGGATGGAGTGGAAGGCCTATGATGCAGAAGAGCGAGCCACAGACGCAACTTTGAGGTCTCTCCGTCGGCGGCGGGCGGAGGAGGAGGCGGCACGCGCGGCCGAAGCGCAACGGCAGCGCGAAGAAGAGGTCGCGAGGCTGGCCAGAGAAGCGGCATACAACCGCAGCTTGATGAGGCTGCCCCCCGAAATACGCCTCCGCATCTGGCGCCTCCTCTTCGTGTCCGCGAAGCCCATCCTCGTCTACCGCAACTGGACCATGACATACCGGCGCAAGCCCGAGCGCCGCAGCAATCGCATCACGGAACGAGGCAACGGCGCCGGCAACGGCAGAACCGCGCCAGACCAGACCTCCGACCTCTACGGCATCGCCATCCTGCGCACCTGCAGCGCCCTGTTCGTCGAAGGCGTCGCAGTGCTCTACGGCGAAAACACATTCTGCTACCGCCTGCGCGACTCGCGCCCGTCCCTCGTCGACCTCGACCGCCTCTTGCTGCCCAACGCCGTCGACGACCTCGATATGGACGACGACGCCTTTCCCATGCACATGGACGTCGACGACGAGAACAGCGACGATGGCGACGCAGAGTTCATCTACCACGGCGGGAGGGGGGCGGCGGCCGCGGCCGCGCGAGGGGAAGAGGCACACATCAACGTCGAGAAGTACTACTACTTCTTCCGCAGCCTGGCGATCGAGGCGGAGCCGAACCGGTACTCGGACAGCACCATGGCGGCCATGGCGGAGGCCATCAACGTGTTTGCGCCGCGTGACGGCCGTCCGCGGCCGAATATCAACAGGCTGGTGCTGCGCGTCACGCCCCTGCGGGAGATGCCGCCCGACGAGGACGGAGACGGCAACGACGACGGTAACGACGCGGACTTGGACGACGACAACGGCCAGGGCGATGAGGGCAGTGATAATGAAGACGGCAGTAACGACAGCGACGACAGCGACGCCGACGACGGCGACAACGGCGGCACCAGCTTCGACAACGAGCGCCACTACACCTTTGTATCCTTCTTCAAGCCCGCCTCGCCCGTCATGGAAGCCGTCCACAACCTGCGCTGCAACGTCCTCCGCATCGACCTCATGTGTCCCCACCGCGCCGCCGCCTCCGCCGCAACCGCCGCCCACGGGGTAAGAGCGTGGCAGCCCGGCCGCAGCTTCACCATCGACCGCTCCGTGGAGATGGTCCTGCGGGGGCTGCGCGAGGACCCGCGCCGCCGCGACCCCTGGGCGCGCGACCGATGCATGCTGCTGACGCGCCGGGAGCGCACCCGGCACGTCTGGCGCATGATGGACGAGGTGTGGCTGCACGTCGCGCGGTTCTGCAGGAGGCACGTCAGGCGCACGACGGCAGGCGGGGATTGGGGCTTTGGCGAGGAGTGGACGGAGCTGCCGGAGGACGTGGATGCAACGGGATTCTAGCTTTTTGAGGGGGTTAGGTAAGGAAGGCGACTTTGGGAGGGATATGCGATGCTGATTATCGCGTTATGGAGCTCAGAAAGGGAAAAGGGGGG